CTATTGGTTTTTTTAACCCTCCACTTTCTTGTTTTCTGGCTCATCAACAAGAACAGCTCGTACCAGTATTGCGAAAATAAACTTGACAAACGGGTCCGTAACGGTGTTTTGGTCTGTTTATTAGCCCATGGGCCTATAAACGGAGGTGGGCTTATATCCGGATATAGGCCCGTGGGCTTATATGCGCAGAACTACGGTATTTATTTCTGCCCTTCCACTCTCTCTTATTCCTTCTGTCGTCCACATGTATCAAAGGAGGCGAAATCGCCTGTTTGTGGTGCGACGTTAAATAAACTTCTACAACAACAACAACGGTCGGGAGGCAATGGTGTCAGGTCGGAGCTGTGAGTGGCTGAGTCCTTGGCTTACTTCTTCGACAGCACAGACTGTCCATTTCCCTTTCCTGGCACTGGCCCGTGACGTTTTTCATGGAATGTCCACCGTCCCTCGCATACAGTGGTCTAGGCCAAAGGTTTACAGAGGTGACTGTGGGGAGGGCATCAGCATCAAGAGATACTCTTCCTGTCATCATTCCCTTCTTGTTTTCACGGACACTGCTATCATGAACTGCAACTGTCTGGTGTACTGCGGTGGAGCATGTTGTGATGAACTCGCTTAGCCGTTGGTCATTGCACTGGGCACTGAGATTGCCACTAAAGACAACTACTCGCTTCTTGCGGCGAGGCTCTTGAGCCACCAACTGCCAAGAATCACCCTGGATGGCCTCCAAGTCCAATGCAGGGGTTGCATTGGGCACAGGCTTGGCTGGCATGTGTCCGAATCGACATCCTCCATGCTGCTGAAAGTCATCTGCGTCCGAGCACTCCGTGCCTGAGGGCCCACTGTCCTCGATCACTTTTTCAAAAGTGCGGCTACGGGATACGGCGTCCACGTGCGCTCCAGTTGTTTCCTGATCCTGCAGATACTGCTGCTGCTTGCTTGCATGGTTGCCTTTGCCTTTGGTACGGGTACGGCGTGTACGCTGGCTGTTGAGAGTATGGGTACTGCCGGGCAGCTCCGAGGAGGAATCCACGGCTGTAATGGCGGACTTCTTTTCAAAGGAGACACGAACCTCCGCCTTCAACTCCACGATTTGTGCAGAGAGCTCATCTAAGCGTCGTAGGAGGCACCTCTCCCGGTCTCTCGACTCACTGACAAAAGTTTTCAAAGTCTGCAGCAAGCTAACCACATTTTGCTCAATACCAGGCAGAGAGCAGAGCAGTTTTGTCGGCTCGCCTGTCAGCTCGCCCATGTCAAACAAATTTAGGACTACGACTTCGGGCACCACACTACTAGGCTGGTTGCTAGTCACGGTGGTCTTTAGTACCAGGCTGGTCGCTAGCCACGGTGATCGTTAGTTCCAGGCTTGTCGCTACTCACGGTGGTCTTTAGTACCAGGCTGGTCGCTAAGTCACAGTGGTCTTTAGTACCAGGCCGGTCGCTAGTCACGGTGGTCTGTAGTACCAGGCTGGTCGCTAGTCACGGTGGTCTTTAGTACCAGGCTGGTCGCTAGTCATGGTGGTCTTTAGTACCAGGCTGGTCGCTAGTCACGGTGGTCTTCAGTACCAGGCCGGTCGCTAGTCACGGTGGTCTTTAAAACCAGGTTGGTCGCTAGTCACGGTGGTCTTTAGTACCAGGCTGGTCGCTAGTCACGGTGGTTTTTAGTTCCAGGCTGGTCGCTAGTCACGGTGGTCTTTAGTACCAGGCTGGTCGCTAGTCACGGTGGTCTTTAGTACCAGGCTGGTCGCTAGTCACGGCGGTCTTTAGTACCAGGCTGGTCGCTAGTCACGGTGGCCTTTAGTTCCAGGCTGGTCGCTAGTCACGTTGGTCTTTAGTACCAGGCTGGTTGCTAGTCACGGTGGTCTTTAGTACCAGGCTGGTCGCTAGTCACGGTGGTCTTTAGTACCAGGCTGGTCGCTAGTCACGGTGGTCTTTAGTACCAGGCTGGTCGCTAGTCACGGTGGTCTTTAGTACCAGGCCGGTCGCTAGTCACGGTGGTCTGTAGTACCAGGCTGGTCGCAAGTCACGGTGGTCTTTAGTACCAGCAAGAGTACATAACCCCCCAGAGTGTGCAACGCCTGATCCAGCTCTGCATAGGGCGGAGCGAGCGGAATCGGATCTTTGCGTCATAATACCGTACACATCTGGGGGGAACCCGGGGAGTCGCGGGTACTCTTGGATCAAAAACAATGGTGCCCTGCCTCGAGACCGGCCTTGCGCTGGTGTGAAGTGTACGCATGACATCAGAAGATCCGATTCCGCTCGACCAAGACCCTACACAGAGCTGGATCGGCGTTGCACACTCTGGGGGGTTATGTACTCTTGGTACCAGGCTGGTCGCTAGTCACGGTAGTCTTTAGTACCAGGCTGGTCGCTAGTCACGGTGGTCTTTAGTACCAGGCTGGTCGCTAGTCACGGTGGTCTTTAGTACCAGGCTGGTCGCTAGTCACGGTGGTCTTTAGTTCCAGGCTGGTCGCTAGTCACGGTGGTCTTTATAGTCTGTTTCAAAAAGATTTACAATCAGGTTTGGGTCTTAAAAAGTATGAAGATAAGGGAAATTTGGACAACAAAGTACATAGAATGGCTTGTTAGGACACGGCAAATTGTTCTGTGAAGGTTTCGGACCAATTGGACCAGCCGTTAAGGAGTTAGAATTTCGGCCAGGTTTCCGGCCTTTTCCCATGGTTTACCATTTGCCCAGGAAGCCAGTATCGATTTTCTTATCAAAACCCACGATTTATCCTTTCCTTTTTGGCCTTGTGGTTATGAATGCTGTCTGCTGACCATGAAGTTGTGAGTTCAAATCCCAACCTATCCTCAAGTCAAACTTTTTTTTCATTGTTTTGGTGATCAAGCTGGTGCAAGACAAAGAAGATGGCTGCACCAAACGACTTGTTGTTGAAGCTCGCGCTTCCTGCCGAACTGACTGACACTTGACTGGCTCACGCCATGTGAACACACCCACAACACTGCAATGGTGTGAGTGAATATAGAAGTCATCGCGCTGTAGCTTTTTGAGATTTATTTTAGTTTCAAGATCGCCAATTTATTTGAATTTAGCAGTCAACGCCGTCTTCTATCAGCGTTCACAAGCGTCTGCTTTTCTCAAAATGTCGTCGAAGTCACATGGATAGCTTTGCCAAGTCATGGCCTTGGGAATGAGTCCGTGTCGATGTCGTTTTCGTCACACGGTGAGTAAATTGCATCGCAGCTCAAAGAAACTATTTTGGTCACAAAACGAATTGGGACACATGCCGCTCGTCAACATTTACAACACTTTCGTTTCGACATGTCCTCTCTGACTCCATTATCGATACGAGGAAGAACTCGTTTGTTGTAAACCAGACGTACTCGTACATGACTGTATCAACGTGAGTGAGTTGTCAGTTTTCCTGCTTTTGCGCGGAATATTTCTTCGAGTTCACAGTGAGTTTTTCCAGGCAGCGCTCGAGTGCTCATACGGTAAGACGCCAAACTCTGCGGGCGATCGCCAGGATTGCAAATCTTTTTGAAACGGACTGTAGTACCAGGCCGGTCGCTAGTCACGTTGGTCTTTAATACCAGGCTGGTCGCTAGTCACGGTGGTCTTTAGTACATGTACTACTGAGTGCTAGAGTAGATGCAACCAAGACTAGATCTTTGCGGATAATGCCGGCAGAAAAATTGGCAGAATTCGGTACTTTTTCTGATAAGTTTCATGCATGTTTGGTATGTGGATAAAGAAATGGAGCAGAATTCGAGGAATTGCCCGCCATAAGGTTTGTATGGTTCTGCCAATTTCACTGCTTTTCGAGCAGAATCTGCCACCTTTTCGAGCATTATCCGCCAATAGACACCCTTAGCAAACAACGTTATGTTGTAACGGTATTAGAGAGGTTCCGCATAACGTAATTACGTTAGTAAAAAAACGCAGTCGATCTACGGAAAGTCTTACGTAAACTGCATGCGCATCTGCGTTCCGCCATACGGAGTTTTCAAATCACGTAGCTGCCCTTGGCAACTCCGAACGCGGCAGTGTACGACCAGATCGACCTGGGGAGAGAGTCATAAATTTGTACCCCAATCCACTTACGGACCAGCTACGTTATCAGAACCCTATCTGCGTACTCTACGTAGACAACTTTCCGTAAGTGGAGTGCAAACTTGCGAATTCACGGGTTTTCCCCGCCCACTAATTTAAAGTTGCTCAACTTTACGTAGTGCGGAACCTCTCTATTACCGTAAGGGGGAAAATAACGTGATTTGGTCTCGACCTTTAGCAAGATGCACACTATTTTTAGTACGCTGTTGCCGCTAGAATAGCTTTTAGTTCGCGCGGTACAACCATTTATGTCACCATATACGCGATACAAGGTGAACTGAGTACAGATTATGCAATATTTGGCCAAAAAACGTACCGTTGGTAACAACGATAAATCAGCCCCCATATCGTTTAAACGGTGCAGCTTCAACGCTATTTGGGTGATCAAGGTACGAGTACCGTAAAAAATAGCGTTTCCATTGTTTGCTAAGGGTGTCTAATGCCTAAACAAGACTGTTACGCTTTCGACTTTTTCTACATGGGTACCTGTCACAGCTAAAGTTCTGGATTTAGCACAAGCACACACATACACACACACACACACACACACACACACACACACACACACACCTGGTCCTGGTAAACACTGCCATGACGGTCATGTGTCCCCTTGCGGGACCGACAATATGGAACGACGAGCGACTGCAAAACTGGAAAGTCGGCAGTCCGCTGAGAGCACACACACACACACACATACACGCATACACACACACACACACACACACACACACACACACACACACACACACACACACACTAATTTCAATTTCCAGTACGATATGACAAGTATTGCTATGCTTAGAAAATGATGCCAGGTTTTGGTCACAAGGGTTGTAAACAGATCAAGCAGCACAGCACTGGAAAAGGAGACTTTCTAACAACTCTCCGTTCTCGTTTTCTTCGTTGTCACCCTGTACAGGCCAATACGATCCAGAGGCTCCCATCGGTAAGTGGTATCAACAAGTTAATTAAACAAAAACATATACCGGTATTTTACTTTTACCATGTGAAGTTCATCCATCGTCCGTAGAGGGCTCAATTTGTCGAAAGCAAAGAGCGGAATACACGGACAGATACTTTCGTTCTCCTTTTTCTATCTGTGTATATTTGCCTAGCTTAATGCAACGGAGGTGTGGAATTGAATCAAATTTCGTATACCCCCCCCCCCCGCTCACCTCACTACATGCAGTTCACATCTGACTTTGTCTGCAAGATCCTTACCACTCCAACATGTACATGTCGATGAGGACGAAACCACATAAGACAGTATTCCTGTAACATCAAAACACCATAAGACGGTACTCAAGTTACATCAAAATACCATCGTAGGGAACACGACAGGTCACCGCGAGATAGCTCACAGCGCGACAACTCACAGCCGACAGCTCACAGTGTCGTCAACTCACGGCCAAGACAACTCACAGTGTCGTCAACTCACAGCGAGACAAGTCACAGCCAAGACAACTCACAGCCACCCCAGCTCACAGCGCGACAATTCACAGCCACACCGCGATCGGCTGCGGGTTCAGAACATTCCGCCGAACCCAGGCACACTGCAAGACCTCCAGTTGCCGGAGCGCATAACTCGTAACATTTTGGCCTTCTTCTTTTCAGAATTGTTTAATTGGCTCACCATCCGAGTTACATGTTATTTTCTTCTTTGCATTACATGTAAATAGGGAAGTGCCGAGAACGTCGCGTTATTATTATCATATACATTGTAGGTTTTTACTAGGACCAACCCCTACAGACTCCAGGTCTTCATTGCACCATTACATAAAATAAGGACGCTGTGAGTTGTCGACACTGTGAGTTGTCGACACTGTGAGTTGTCGCGCAGTGAGTTGTCTTGGTTGTGAGTTGTCTTGACTGTGAGTTGACGACACTGTGAGTTGTCTCGCTGTGACTTGTCTCGCTGTGAGTTGTCGCGCTGTGAGCTGTCTCGCTGTGACCTGTCGTAGACCCGTATTCAAAAGAGGTTTCAATGCGAGACAGGCGTTCACAGAATACACTGCAGTAGTGGTACATGGGTTAAAAGGGGGCAACCTACCCATAAATTTCATATGGCATTCAATTGCCCGTAACTTTGGCGTTTCTCAATGGATTTGAGTGAAATTTTGACCACACACTCCTGCCACTATGCTGGCCCTCAGGACATGATTTTATAAGTTCTTGCGCCTCACTGACAGGCTTTCCAGGCCGGAAAAACTCAAATTTCCGGCATAGTGCCACGGTGTGCGAGCCACCCTGGAGCCAAACAATGCATTTACAATTTTTTCACATTTTCGTGCCCATTCTGTCCGTGCGCGGGACCCAAACCTAAAACAAGTCCAGAAGCAGCCATGGGTGGTGGGGTAGGGCCCCTCAACGTGGCCCTGGAATCTGTCACTACGGAACGAGTGGGCGTTCTCTCACAGACTCCCACAGACCCAAGTCAATTTTTGAATTTTTTTAGGTCTAGCACGTGCTACGAGGTCGTACATTTGATACAACATCCAGTGCTGGGACGTCCACAGCAAGCCATTTCCACATCGAATTTTGGGTAGTCTGCCACTTTAAGAGCAAAGGGCGCGCACGTGCGTGTGTGTGTATATGTGTGTGTATGTGTGTGTGTATGTGTGTGTGTGTGTGTGTGTGTGTGTGTGTGTGTGTGTGTATGTGTGTGTGTGTGTATGTATGTGTGTGTGTGTTTGTATGTGTGTGTGTGGAGGGGGGGGGGGTGTGTGTGTATGTGTGGGTGTGTGTGTGTATGTGTGTGTGTCCCATATGGTGCTGTGGTATGTCCAGTCGATTTCCAATCGAGAGGTTGCGGGTTCAATTCCAGACGATTATGGTCACACACGTCTTTCTTCTCTTTCTCGGACTCTTCCTGACTTTTCTTTCATTCTCCTGGGTGGTTACCAACAGCCAGTGTATGCCGGAGTATGTGGTGTGGTGTGTGTGTAGAAAAGAATGGAAAAATGAAAAATAGGGATTCACTGGCCAGAAAAAGTCACTTCAAACAGCTGTGTGGTGAATACCAGGCTAAAAATAGTGGCGGTCAATTCATCAGCCTTGCAAGCTGTGGAATGGTGTAATCCCAGCACAAGTTACTATGTCTAACATAGCTGTTCGCTATCATCACTTCCGCGATGGGCATGTCTGAGGTCTGAGGTGTGTGTGTGTGTGTGTGTGTGTGTGTGTGTGTGTGTGTGTGTGTGTGTGTGTGTGTGTGTGTGAGGTGAGGTGTGTATGTGTGTGTGTGTGTGTGTGTGTGTGTATGTATGTGTGTTTGTGTGTGCCCTTCTTGACCTGACCAATGCCCTCGACTTGTTTTCGTCTTTCTGGTTGGCTAATACTATAGTATGCGACGACTACAGGGTCATGAATGGAAAGTTTGTGTCAACACACTATGGCATGGCCAGTGAGGTGACGTGTGACACCGGATCCTACCCTGCAACCCCGCACGCAGTGGCACAGTGTGTTAGCAGGAACGGTCTCTATGGCTGGTCGATCTCGGACTCTTCTCCACCTGAGGACAAGATGTGCATCCGTAAGCATGGTCTGGTTTGGGTGACTGTATTTAGACAATTGAAATAATTCGGGAGAGGCCAGCGTCTCTTGCCAGAAGAGGGGAGACTCATTCATGCGACTTTCGATTGGCGTGATGAGCTTCAGCAAATGCACAGGTTTTCTTTCAGAACTCACCAATATTGATCTCTAGGCATTGCTATTGTTTAAAGAACAACCGAATCGGAAATAAAATGAAGATAATAATAATAGTAGGTGGAAGCAGAACGAAGAAGTATACAGTAAGATCGTGTGCAAGTACATAATATTATTTTTATACTGACCTGCTGAGAATGATGGAATAGTGCATGCTGTCTGTGTATACATGTATGTATAGCTTAAGTGTAAACCTACCAGTGGGGAGCTATTGTGCGTTTGATGGCTATTATCTGTATGTATGTGCATGTGCGGGCATGTGTGGGCATGTGCTTCAACGTGGGTGTGACGTTTTTGTGCATGTTCTGCTTGTGTGTACATGCGTATGTGTGCATGTTTGCGGCGCCATCTTCTTGCTGCTCCAACACAGGTGTTGAAAGTAAGTTGATGTCTCCTGTGTGTTGCATTTATTGTGGAAATTAGTTGTGACAAGTCTGTTCTACGTGGTCTAGATTTTTAGTGGCACCTTTCAGCTTGGAATAACATTTTAAAAGTCTTCCTTTCCTGCAAACGCTCTTCTTTGCAAGTTTTACACACCAACACAAATAGATGCGTTCACATGCATGACCCCCATCACATTCGCAAGCGCGTGCGCGTGCGCGCACACACACACACACAAATACACACACGCACACACACATACCCATACAAACACAAATGTACACCTTTCACCTTACGTGTGTGTGGGGGGGGGGGGGGGAGGGGGGGGGTACACTTATGCCTGATTATGTTGGGTCTGTTGCCAACGGGCTCGGCTGTTTGAAAGTGTAATGTTGTACCTGCCACCTTTGTCGGTTCCAGGGTTCATATACTTTCTATTTGAAGTGTACATACCTGTTAACCATGGACTGCTTCTGGCTAGATAAACTCTTGTGTAATCAATGGTGCTAGTGACGCTTATATCAGATCCACTCTGATTTAGCCACCCAAACTAGTAGCAAGTATTATCTTCACTGGGGGCAGAGGTAACTGCAGTTGCATACCTGGACGGATACTCTGATGTCGTCAATCCTTTTTCTGCACCTTGTCCTCACTCACTTGCTGAGGTGTGGTGAGCCCATAAGCGGGATCATTTTCAAGTCCACCCAGAGTTTTGGGGGTTTCAGGGGTTGTCGGCCGTTGGGCGGTTCAATAGCCAATTGAGTCATCTTTCCAAGCTTCCTTTTGAGTCTCTCTCCCCTCTCCCGGGGAGACCCACGTGACCAGTTTTGGCAGTGAGCAACAAGTACAAGTATGTGTATGTGTGTGTGCGTGCGTGCGTGCGTGTGTGTGTGTGTGCGTTCAGTGTGAAGAAGGATGTTCTATCTACCCTTAGTAAAAGTAACCTTATCTATTCTTTCAATGCCGACAATGTGAAGATCGGTATGTAGGTAGAACCCTTCAGCACCTGGGCGCGCGCATTCGTCAACATGTGCCGTTAAGTTTTGTTCCGCTTGATGCGCGTGAGTGTCGTCCTCGCCGTGGTCGTCCTCCAAAATGTGCTGTCCAGTCCATCGGTGGATCTTCCTCTTCCTGTGAAGATGTGACTGCATGCCCTCCTCCTCCGCGTGTGTAGGGCAGGGTCCAGCTGAGAACAGCGTGAAAGATGGTGAAAGACCGACCCGTAAACCACCGAAATTGACAAAGGATCTGTCTGCGTCGGGAAGGGTTACGCGAAGCCAAGTAAAAATACGGACTGATGAGGACGCACGTACAACGACAACGGAAGTGACAACAACAGTCAATATTCGAAAACGTGGTAGACCGCGAAAACGAACCTCAATATCGAACACCGGACAAGTTGGAGTAAGAAGATCAATAGAAATCCGCAACGGAGGAGACGTAGCTGAAAGGACACTGGGCATCGCGCACACAACGGCTAGCGTCAGAAAACGTGGAAGGCCGCGGAAAAGCAAAGAGACGGATAGTGGAGATGCCGCGAAGAGGCGAGATGACGGGACATTGGAGGAGACAACACCCAACGAAGCTAAGAATCGCACTTCGTCCATCAAGCAACATCTGTCAGCCCGTACCAATTGTCGTGAGTTGTACAGTGTTAATGTGTTCTCAATATTGTCACGTGGTAGATGTGCGTTGCATCTGGCTGTGTTACAAGCTTTGTATATCCGTAAGTTAGATCCTGAACTTTGCGTACAGAAAGAAAATGTGTTGTCGCTACAATTGTTTGGTGTTACTCCTCGTAGAGGTGTTAACAATGTAACTTAATTTGCTCACTATGTTCTTGTCACTATTATTATTTCCTTCGAGTTTTGTGTCGTGCTGAACTTGATAATTTTCCACCTTGTCACGAGTTTTGTTATCTCATATCTTTTCGCTATATAAGTTTTAGTCTTTCCAACTTGAGCCATTCCCTGTATAATCCTTGATGAGAAGGGACCGAAAACGTTCTGATACTTTGACAAGTGCCTTATTTTGACTGGATGTGTGTTTGCGTGGATACTTACGACCCAACACGTACCTTCGTTATTAAAGTATTATCCGCCTCCGACTTCTTGTAAAATTATTATTATTATTGTCTCTTTCCCTCAAAGCAGTTATTATTATTATTATTGTTAGAATTGCGATCAACAGAACGAGCTGAACCGACATTTCACAAAGACTTTTATTGTATTCAAAAAACGAGTGGATACGAAGGCAGTGAAGAACATGGAAGGCAGTGAATACAATAAAAGCCTTTGTGAAATGTCGGTTCAGCTCGTTCTGTTGATCGCAATTCTAAAACTATTGTCGCCTCGACGCCTATTTATTATTATTATTATTATTTGAAACTCGGGTATTGCGCCAATAATAAAAGTAGAAAGGAAAAGGACATATGGAAACGAGTTTAGAGTAACTCTCCACCACTGTAACTAGGTACTATATACAGTCAGAAAGTGCAACAACTAGGCACAAAACTGACAGAGTACTGAGACATTCGACGTCCTGACACCTAGCTTTGCCTTCCCCTCTTTGGTCTTTCCATAACCTTGAACCTTCCAAGTTGGAAGGCTGTCGGTTAGCGCTACGGAGATGTGTTGAAGCTAGGTGTCAGGACGTCGAATGTCTCAGTACTCTGTCAGTTTTGTGCCTAGTTGTTGCACTTTCTGACTGTATATAGTATCTTGTTACAGTGGTGGAGAGTTACTCTTAACTCCTTTTCATATGTCCTTTTCCTTTCTACTGTATTATTATTATTTTGAACGGATTGGGAGAACTTCAAATACAAAGGATCAGTTGGGGAAATGAACTGCCTAAAAAGAGAACAAAATCGCCAGACCCATCAGGACTCGAACCTGGGACCCTGCTTGTCATGAGCAATGCTCTAACCACTGAGCTATGGGACCAGGCTGAACCTAGAAGGCGCTGACAAGTTTTTCACTCCAAAGGCAGCTCACAACACGTGCCACACATACTGATGGCACTTGGGTCTTTCTCCCTACCTCAGGGGACCAACCACGGTCAGTTTCTGGACCCTTCCAGACCCCAATTGATCCTTTCAAACGGTATTTGAAGTTCTCCCAATCAGTTCAAAAATTAATCACTTTTCTTTCACTTCTGGTAGGGTCCAGAAAACGTTTAGGAACAAGCTTCTTTATTTACATGAAAACAAGTTTTGCTAATGGTGTTTGTACTGAGTGCGCAGCTTAAGCGGGATTCACAGAAGCTTTTTTTGCGATGCGACACGCGATGCGACGCGATCTGCGATGGATGCGTGCGATGCGAACTCGCGAAATACCATTCACAGAAGAAGTCAGCGATGGGACAAAGTTTTGCTGATTTGGGTACATCACCATGACATTCGCGCGGTTTGACACAACTTGTAAAAATTTATAGGCAACTCTTGCACCTTTGTACAACTTTGCTGTAGAAAAGGTCAAATCGTACACCAAATCGCTTGTCGCATCGCATCGCATCGCAAAAGTTGAGCCAAGCTCAACTTCTGCGATGGCCTGCGATGGCCCAGTTGCGGCAGTTGCGTGGGGTGCGACATGGCTGCGATTTGGGGTTTTCCCGGTTTCGCGTCTGTCGCATCGCGTGTCGCATCGCAAAAAAGCTTCTGTGAATCCCGCTTTACTCTATTTATTGCGTTGATTACATTTTTATCTCCACGTAAGCTTTTTAAATATTATTATTATTATTTGATAACCGCAATCAATAAGACGAGCTGAACCGACATTTGTGTACTTTATTCATGCAATGTAAAACGGTGGAGACGATGTGCAATAAAACGATGAAAATATGAAGAAATGGTGTAGAGAAAAAATAAGGAGTCAAACAAGTTTTCGTACAACACTCATCAGGAATCGTCGTTTTACTAAAGGACACTGAAACAAAATTGAACTATTATAGAAAATCTAAGTTAGAGAAATAACACTAAGAAGAACAGCAGTGAATTTTCCATATTAGACACCCTTAGCAAAAAACGTTATGTTGTAACGGTATTATCGTAAGGGGGAAAATACCGTGATTTGGGTTCGACCTTTAGCAAGATGCACGCTATTTTTAGTACGCTGTTGCCACGAGAGTAGCTTTGATTTCGCGCGGTACAACCATTTTTGTCACCATATACGCGATACAAGGTGAAATGCGTACGGACTATGCAATATTTGGCCAAAACACGTACCGTTGGTCACAACGATAAATCAGCCCCCATAACGTTTATACGCTGCAGCTTCAACGCTATTTGGGTGATCAAGGTACGAGTACCGTAAAAAATAGCGTTACCGTTGTTTGCTAAGGGTGTCTATTAACGAGAGTAGTAACGAATGCGTGTACAAGTACAATAAACTTGCAAATGGAAAAATGAACAAACAAGTGAAAGAAAGAACTTAAGGAAGGACAAATTGATAACACATAACAGCAGTACATTTTAGAATATTAACGGCCAAGCTTGGCCGCACCAAACACGACACGTTACTTGAACAATTTCAACCCAATTATACTGTCTTTCTGTACACACAAATTAGGCTAATACAGACGCTGATAGATAGCTTCCAACACTTTTAACTGTAGTCCATAACCATGACGACCACGGCACAATACAGTGAACGAAGAGTCGGAATACGAAATGCAACAATCAGGACTAGCTAGCAGATGATTGTACACTGAAGACTTGCTACCACGAAACCTACGCACAACACTAACACTCTCACCGGCACTCTCACGATCACTCCCATCATCGCTCTCAGACTCACTGCTCCCTTCGC